GCGGAGAGAGAGAGAGGCAGCGTGCGGAGAGAGTTGAGGAAAGGCGATTCACGCGGCGAATGAAACATGAGTAAACGCGCTAATAAAATATCTCGCGAAAGGGCTCCCACCAAATGAGTTCTCGCGTTACCTCCCACACAAAGTCCCTCTCTCAACGTTCTCTCTCTCTCTCTCTCTCTTTCTCTCTCTCGCGCGTGCGCGCACGTGGCCGTCCAATTATCGTGTCGGCGAATCGAACGTGTCAAATTAACGAGCGCGTTTTCCTGCCCACACGTCGGCAAGAAAAGCCTGACGTGACGTGACGTGATGTGACGTGCGGGGCGTAGGAGCAGGTTTTCTCTGGGTGCTCGCGTGGAAAGGTTGAGCACAGCCTTGCTCAGGCTTGCTCAGGGCGGACAGGGGATTTACAGTTACGCGTCTCACGCGTGTCTCACACGCTCTTCGGCGTCTAATCGGCTCCGAAGTCTCGATACGCTCCGATAAGCACCGGCTGCTGGTCACAATAAAGTCATCGACGAACCGGTACTTCGTTCATTCATCTCTCTCTCCGTAATGATCGAAGGACTCGGAAGGACGCGAATGCGCTTTCTCGCGCCCGTGCCGTGTGTGACCGCGTGTCCTTTCCCCCGGATCCTTCGCGGCAGCGACACTTTCGCAGGAGCGCGCTCAAGGTTGCCGCGCCGCCGATTGTCTCGCGCTCGCGCGTGCGGGGAAACAACGGGCGTAAGCCCGTTGTGATCGCGCGAATGATTACGACTAGTGATGGGCAAATATCGATCGATGAAACAAGCATCGATTCTTGCTTCCTTGAAAAATCGATTATCGGACCGATATTTTTGGGGGCCGATTATTCTTTTCGTCGATTATATTACTAGATTTGTTACTAAATTTTCATCGTTATTAAGGCCCGTCTACAATAGCTGCAAAAATAAAGCTGTAACAGTAAACAGTAAAAAATAAACCAACAACAGTCGACTATTATAAGAACAATCGACTTTAATTGGCTTATTTCTTGTAGCTTACGCTTATAGTAGCTTATTCTTATATAAGCTTATGTCTTTGAGGTTTTAATAATATATTAATTTATTGTTGCAACGTATAACTCTTCACATTAATTTAAAATAAACTAGGAAAACATCGATTATGCAAAAACGATCTTTTTGATAATCGATTAAATCGCAGACGATGCCCATCTTTTTCTTGACGAAGCTCATCCCTAATTACGACTGATTTCGGTTCACGTGAGAATTTTGGCTCTCGCTGCAGGCGGGAGGGGGAGAGGAGAGAGAGAGAGAGAGAGAGAGAGAGAGAGAGAGAGAGAGAGAGAGAGAGAGAGAGAGAGAGAGAGAGAGAGAGAGAGAGAGAGAGAGGCCGATCGAACGGTGCGAGCGCGCAGCATCGACGGATAGCGCGCGCAACGTGGCCGGAGAGTGAAGGGCACTTTATTAGCCTCGTCGCGAACGGGTGAAAGGCGAGAAACGCCGGCGGCGTTGCTTCGCGATATTCGCGAAATATTGCTTTCTGCTTTCCGCGGCGTAACGCTGTCGGGCGGTCTCGCTCGCTCGCTTTCCTCGTAACGCGCGCGCGCGCGTGCGCCGACCGCACGCACAGATTACGTTTGGCACGATAATTGCGCAATGCCGCGACGAATGAGGTACGAGGCCGCAGGAATTATGTTAATTATTGTCCAGCCGAATTGTTCCTCTCGTGTTACGTAACATGTAACGTGATAGGGAGAGAGAGGAAGGGAGGAGGGATTCTGCTGTCGCCGATAGCGACGCGCTGGTAAGCGATACTTCCTCCTGTGACGCGCGCGATGTTTTCGGTGGGACGATGGGATGTTTTTAACGAAAGATAACAAAAGAGAGAGAGAGAGAGAGAGAGAGAGAGAGAGAGAGAGAGAGAGAGAAAGAGATAAGAAGTTGTCACGCGTCCCTCGCGACTTATGTTGCCATTGAAAGAAATTAATACCGCGCATAATATCAGTAAGCGAGCGCGAAAACGCGTCTCGCTCCGATGATAAGCGATCGCGCGCTTCTGAATGGTGCTTGTCATTTTGCACGAAACGAAAAATGGCATTTTTCGCGCGACGTTACGTGCCCTCTTCAAGTTCGGCACACGTCACGTATACGCGTTTTGTTACTCGCCGGACAAAACGCCGCGGCACAACACACATCAGCGTGCATTATCACGTTGTATGCTCGTTGTACGCCGTGCAACGTCGGGCTTTCATGACACGCTCGATGGGCACGCACGCACGCACGCACATGAATACACACGTGTGAAACGGGAAAAATGAATGAAGATGACATGCCGGAGAGGTTAACAGCCTCTTACGTCTCTCGCGAGATCGCCGTGGCTGACGTGACGACGACGGCCAATCGGACCGTTATCCCGGAACTGTATTTCCCGAGCGCGCGTTTCGCCCTCGACACTTGGATGGCCGCGCGTACGCGTTAGAGTTATAAAAACAATATATATATATATATATCTTTCTGGCAGGAATGTAACAATTGCTGCAACAATCGGAATTCCAAGAGCCATGTAAACAGCCGTCGGTACACATTTGTGTACGAGGAGAAGATGCTTGCCCCCTTTCGGACACCGTTTTTAAGCGAGCTCTCGAAATCCGTAGGCTGCGCCGGGAAATTTTTCCCGAGACGAATGCGGCCGTCAGTGCCGAACGTGACCGTCTGATATTCTCAGGCTGAAATAACATTACACGTGATTCTCATGAGAGAGAGAGAGAGAGAGAGAGAGAGAAAGAGAGAGAGACGAATACAAATTCGGGCTCTCTTTCTTTCTCTCGCGGCAGACGGGCCTCATTTAATATTGAACGTGCGTGCGTGCGGTCGAAACACGGCTAATGCTCCGTAACGACAGCGAGAGTCTGCTCGACAGACCCGAGAGATTACTCTTTTCCATGGCACGCCTACTCTTTTTACGGTATTCACATTGTCGCCTCTGAGTGCCGAGCCGAGAGAGGCGGAGAATTCTAGGCATTTTTCTCCGTGCTGCGTACGGAGGCGGCAGATAGCACTGTGTGTGTGTGTGTGTGTGTATGTATGACATGCGTGGACGCTTATATACACTTAGGAACAGGGCTCCCGGGCCGTAATCTGCCGGTCTTTATCTCAGTTGGGAAATTGAAAAGTGCTATCACCGGCGTCAAGATTCGGTAGATCTCGCGTTATAGAGACAACGTGGACGTGGAAAAACTGTAGTCGACGTTCCTAACGATACGAAATAGAGAGAGAGAGAGAGAGAGAGAGAGAGAGAGAGAGAGAGAGAGAGAGAGAGAGAGAGAGAGAGAGAGGCAGGTAGGAGCCGCGCGAAACGTCGCGTTCCGTTGATCCTTGGCGTTTTTATCAACGGTTGTCGCGTTTAGAATCCTCATCGTCTCTTATCTTTATCTTATCGCTTAATCGCACTCTCGCTGCATCTCATTTTCCTGCCGATTATACACTTTCGCAGCTACGTGTACGTCGCGGTACGACTTATCGATTGTGACGTGCCGTATGTAGTTGGCTTTTTTTCTTCACGTCCACGGGGCACGAGCCGTTCTCGTTGGAGCGGAACACGAGTAGCCGATCGCCGAGAAAGGATCTCGTCGGCCGAGAAACGTCCGACGCCTTTGAGCGTGACGACTAACGTGGGGATCTAAAGCTTGAATCGAAGTACCTGCCGTTTAGGGCCGACCCTTCGGGGTCTTCGAGAGAGAAAGAAAAGACTTCGCAGAAAGGATACGATTTTCCTTTTCCAAAGGCCAGGGCCATTGAAACTCGACTTGCGCGCGCGCGGCGTATCTCGTTTGAGTCATTCGTATGGCCGAGAAAAGTCGAGAGAATTACTTTTGTTTGCGGACAAAGAGTAAACTCTCGACGTGATGTCACGAACATGATTACGCCATAATTATCGCGCCCGACGATTCTGGCCACTGACGAGATCCCGCGGAGTGGAGAGAGCAACTTTTCGCCCGCGCAGCTGCGGCGCCTGATAATAACGACAAAAAAGGAAGAATATAAAACAAAGAAGGAAGGAAAATGACGCAACTTCACCGTTGGCCGCGCACAATGCGTCGCGCGTGACACACGAGAGCCTTGTACTTCGTAACGGAGCGGCCTGGACGATAAAGGAATTTCTGAAGCGACGCGACCGAGGATTACTCAGTGGAACCTCGCGCGAAAGCGATCGTTCCGACCGGCATCTCCGACGCCGCTCCGCCGCGGCACGGCCGAAGCCGGCTGCTCTCCGCCAATTGAGGTCGATTAAGCGCGCGGCTGCCGGAGAAGCACGCGCGGCTGCTGTGAAATCGCTCGTTTGAGCAACGAGAGCGGGCCGCCGATGCACGCGACGAGACGTCCGCTATTTAGCCGGCCGGCGCGGGCGCGGCGATCGATGAGAGGCCGTGAAAAGAAGAGCCCCGGAGCCTCCGAGAGAAAACCGAAAGCGCTTCGGCGAGCTCCAACTCACCCACGTCACACGCGGTATGCGACGGCCGATTATCTCGCGTTTCCATTGTCAAACGGACGAGAGAGAGAGAAGATTTTCGCACGGATTTTCAAGCTGCCCCGTTCTCTCTCTCTCTCTCTCTCTTCTCTCTCTCTTCGGAACTGGTCTCGCCGGAATTCTCTACCTGCTCCGGCAGGATTCCTCGGTCGTCCTGTTCTCTCTCTCTCTCTCTCTCTCTCTCTCTCTCTCTCTCTCTCTCTCTCTCTGTCTCTCTCTCTCTCTCTCTCTCTCTCTCTGTCTCACGCCGAGCGAGCGAGCTTCTCATCTCCGAGGCACGGACGAAGGATCGCCGCGCGTTCACGTCCATAGACGCGATGTTTGTATCCGCGACCATTATTCTCTCTCTCTCTCCCCGGCATCCACGCTCTTCCCCGGTCGGCTTTCGCAGCTACCGATCGCGATATCGATCTCATTAGCACGCGCGCGCACGCATGCCGGAAGAACCACCTGTCACACAGGGATCTCTCTCCCTTTTCGTCGGACAATACCTTCTGTCTCGTGGCGCGATGCAGACTTCTTGTCTTCAGAAGAACGCCGCCGACGTCGTCGTCGTTGTCGTCGTTGTGCTCGTGGCTGCTCGCCGATCAACACCACTCTCGAACTTGTCGATTCGGCCCTCGTCCACCGTCTGGGCCCAAGGCGCGCGTGATTCTAACCGCGCCGACCGCTTCTTCTTCGTCTCTTTCTCTCGCGAGAGATCGCTCCGCTCGAGCGACTCGGCGGGCGAGCGAGCGAGCGATCGATCGATCGATCGATCGGTCGTCCGACCAATCGATCACCGGTCACCTCGTGCTATTCGTCGATCCCGTGGATGGTCTCCTCGCCGGAGGGTACGCGATGAGGGAGGAAAACGCGCACTGGATAATGAAACGTGACGCTGATTTGGAAGTGAGCCGGGGGAGAGGGAGAGAGAGAGAGAGAGAGAGAAAGAGAGAGAGAGAAGGACGGAAACGATGAAGGATGTCGACGATCGGGGAACGATCCGCCGAGCGCGATGCGTTCTTCTCTGCTTTTCTTTTCTTCCCTCTCACGCGAACGCGAACAATCCTCGACGAAATCCTCAGTCACGTAGCGCACCGACGGGGCCCGGAGAACGACTGACTAGCGCGAGGGGCTCGCTCGGGGCCCCACCACTTCGCCATCTTGGCCGTCCGGAAGCCTTGCGTTGGTTGGATGCTCGCTCAACAGGGGAACGGGGAGAGAGATCACCAGGTGCGTAGCAGCGTTCCCTCGCGAAATTGCGTACTCTCGAATTTCCGCGTCGGCATTTCTTTCTCGAGTGATTAACTCGCGGCGTTCGCCGCTTTGTCCGCGGAAATGTGGACGTTCGGCGACGACGCGTCGCGCCGCTTGAATCGCGCGACTCGTCTCGGATACTCGGGATCACTTTTGCGGGAGCGCTGCAACGCGAGAGTCGGCTTGCCGATCGCGAGTTCATCAGTGGCGGATTTTGCGGAGAAAGAAGAACCGCACGAGCGAGCGAGGCGATGAAAATGTCGTTGTCGACGACGCGGTGTGGCGATATTTCTCCGAGCGCCCGTACTTAAAGAGCAAGCGTTTTGCGTTTCGCGCCAGTTACGTGGCAGAAATGCGAAATTGAAGGTACTATTAATTCGGACATGTGGAATTTGCGTGTCACACACGGTGCGCGGTTGACGTTGCCGCAAAATTACGCACGTCAGCATAAATCGTGGAGATGCAACGAGTTGTATTCGCTCGCTCGCTCGCTCGCTCGATAGTCGCTTCCTGCCGCTTCGAAATAATCTGTCCTCGCCTCTTCTCCGCGCCTTCCTCCGCCGCTACCGAAAAATTCAGCGAAGCGAGAATGAACTCGTCACGCGGAAACGCGGTCCTTTCCCTGCCTCCCTGCTTCGCAGGAAGGCAGGAGAACGCGTCCGTTCTCACGTCCGCGGAATAAAAATGCGTCTTGTGCGTCACACGATGATTTGTATTCTCCTGTTTTTGCTCTTTCTCTTTGGTCGTCATTAACGCGTCCTTAATGCACGTCCGACCCCGACGAGACGAGACCTCCTCGTCTCGTGGTTTTTTCTCGCACGAATTTCGCCTGCCGAATCCTCACGAAATCCGGCGAGAAGTCACACGGAGCCTCGGCGGAGGCATCCGTGCCAACGAAAAAAAGGATATCGTTTTCGCCATCGTTCGCGGTCGCCACGAGTTCAAGGACCAAGGGCCCGGCGGCGGCGGCGGCGGCGGCGGCGGCGGCGGCCGTTGCTGTGCGAGAGAGAACGGGTCCTCTCCCGGGCCCCCGACACTGCGGGCGCGAGGACCGAGGTACACGCATCGTGTGAACTCACCTTTGCTTTCTCGACCTGTATCGCGTGTCCGCGAGAAGCGACCGCAGCATCCCGACTGGAGCGAGATGAGCAAATACTCTTCCTTGCTCTCCCCATCGGCCCCTCTCTCTCTCTCTCTCTCTCTCTCTTTCTCTCTCTCTCTCTCTCCCTCTCCCTCCCCTCCTCACTCTTTCTTTCTCTCTTTCTCTGCCTTTCCTTCCCGCTTTCAATTGTCCCGTCTCCGTCGCTCCAAACACGGGGCCCAAGGTTTTCAGCTTGGTGAATACGCGGTAACCATGCCGGGAACCTGTTCCCCTCCCCCTGCTCCCCTCCCGCGCTCAAGGGGGGTCGCCTTAGCTCTTTAAAGACTGCGTTTGTACGTTTCCTCCCGTGTCTTTCCCGCTTCTCTCCTCTCTTTCCTCCCGCGCGCGTTATTATCATTGTTATCGCGCAACACTGTCATTAATGATGTTACCACCGTCGAGCGTAATTAAGACTTGCCCCTCCTTCTCTCCCTCTCTCTCGCTCGCTCGCTCGTGTCGCGCGGTTATTGCCGTTTGATCATGGACGGAACTTCTCGTGACGTTTTGTCGTCCAGCATCGCGTAATCGCGTTAACAGTCGAGCGAATCTTCGGAGCGTTGATCCAACAGAGCAGAGGCCGTTCGCGGCGCAAAACGCGGCTCGACGAATTCGCCGTTTCATCCTGCTGCTCGCGTTATAATACAGTCGATCGAGGGGCCAAGCGCGGATAAAGCGCGGATCGAGTTACGGCTCTCGCGAGCAGCCGTAAAGATGTTCTTTTGATGACGCGGAAAACGCTTCGGAGCGAGAAGAGGAAGCGCTGGTGGGGCTTGCTGAGCGAGAGAAAAGAAAACTTGGGCGTCGTTCTTCTGGAAGCGTTCGGCTCTCGTAACCGCGCGTCGTATTATCATCTTTATCCACTTGTCCCCTCAATTGTAACGGACAGTTGAGCTGTGGCTGACGATTAGCGGCAATCGACGTCGCCCGGAGACGACGACGGGCTCTGCCAGAGCCGCCTCTGGAGCGGCGTTCGCTCCAGCTGACTCGACGAGAGCGGGCTCTCGTCTCGACGAGACCGCGAGAGGACGAGCGACGACGGGCTCGTCACGTCGTGTCACGCGCGAGCAGAGCACTCCGCTTACCTAATTGCCGCCTGCCCGGAGCGGCGGGTCGTCGAATGCGATGCACGCCGGCAACATTCGTTATCCGAGTCGCGGCAATTATTATTACTTGTAATGAGCGTGCCTCGCGGCAAAAGCCGATCCCGCAGTTTCCTCCCCGTCTTTGTTTCCGTCCGTCCTCGTCGCGCGAGATCCGGTCCCCGTGATGCTCGCGATCGTCCCTCCCCCCGTTTCTCTCTCTCTCTCTCCCCCCTTCTCCCTCTTTTTCCCCGTTCATCAGCCGGTTGCCTTCTCGGGGTAACGCGGTTGTAAAGGGACTCCCGTCTGCGGTTACGCAGACGGGAGTCTTCGCCGGGGTCCCACCGTAAAGGTAAAGGCGAATCTACACGGTCCGTTTCGAAGGCCCGATCGCGGCGGACGCGAGTCCAGGTCAAAGTGCAGCGGGGGACGCAGTTGCTGATCGACGCGAACGGTTGGTTTCGCTCCTCCGAGGGAAAAGGGCACGGTGCGGCGGTGCTCGCATGCATCGCATCAACCGCGCGCGCGCGAATGAAAACGCCCCGAGAGCGCGCCTCTCGAGGACGAGGACTCGCGCGCGCATCGGAGATTCCGCAGCGACGGTCGGCTTGGAGCGAGTCGTGTAAAATCGCCTTAAGGCGACTCCCTTTTCTTGCCGCCGCTGCCGCCGCCGCTGCCGCCGCCGCCGCCGCCGCCGCAACTTCTCGGCGTAGCACGGTGCTGGGCCGAGAAACTGGGACCCAGTGCTGTATAGCGCGGGGCCTCTGGGCCCATGAGAGCGCGAGGGGGAGAGATGGTAGGCAAGGAGTACGGGAGGGTAAGAAGGGCTCTCCGCGGAGAGAGTTCCGCGGCTACCGAGTCGAGCGAAGGAAATTAATGAATGGCCGCGATCTTGTCGGCGTTAATAAGCGTGCAGCTGGGAGCGGAAGGCGCGCGGGACGGGGGAGGCAGGGAGACGACCCTTCCTCGCTCCTTTCCAGGACTCCCTCCGCGCGCGGCCGTAGGAAGTGCGCGACGTTGTCGTTGAACTCGACTCCCCGTTTCCGCTTTTCACGCGAATCACGTAACGTCGCTCGACTACGTCGCCCACTAAGTCCACGCTGTCCTTAATGAACGCTTTAACCATTTGCGCCCCGGCGGCGGCCAGCGTGAAGTACGACCTTCCCCCCCTCCCCCCCTTTGCTCGCGGAGGGTAGCGAGCGATATTTCAGCGAATTCAACGACAATCGCACGCAATCGGCTCGCTCTGACGAAGCGAGCGAGCACGTATCCGCGCGCCCGGGCAGTCCTGTTCTCCTGCAGTCCCGCAAAAGTCACGAACGAGAGCGGCCGCGGCTAATCGCGCTTAATCGCTCATCATTCCGTCTAATTGAGACTGTGGGGGGCTCCGGAGATTTGGCCCTGACATCTATTATCGCCATGCCTTCTGCTCCCGGTGCCCGGTGCATCGCGTTGCACGGGGACTGCTGCGGCTGTCTGAATGCGCGCGCGGTACTCGCGCCGGACCGCGTGTAGATGAATGCGCGAGTGTACTCGCGCGCCCGTCTCTCTTTCTCCTCCTCCCCCCCCCCCTCTCTCTCTCTCTCTCTCTCTCTCTCTCTCTCTCTCCCTCTTTGTGTGTGGGTATGTACCCTCGAGCAAAGGCAGCCTCGACGTTCATCTTCCCACGAACCCTTTTACTGCACGTACGAGTCTCGTTACTCGTTCCGGGATCAGGAAACACTCCCATTAAGGCCGTTTTACACGGTCACGCGAATAAGTCCGCCTGCCTGGCGCTGCCTGCGAGCGTGTATGCGCGAAGCACCTGTCCGGTGCGAAAGGGCACGCGCGACACAATCGCGCGACGACTCGACGACCGAGTCGATCCTGCGGATCCTGCGGGAGTCTCCTGCGAAGTAACGCGCGCGCGCGCGCGCGCTATCCCAGGCGATTTCTACACGGCGGGAAGAATAATATCGTGGCGTGCTCACGGGGCGATTTCTAGCGTTGCATAATCACGCGGTGCCAATCAAGATCGCCGACTGCTTAATTCGTACAGCGATCGCACAGCCCGAGCCGGCTATTTTCTCAATCATCAGCCGTCACTTCGCTCCACTGCCGTCTGCCGTCGAGTGGCTGAACATTTGCCTCGCCCCTTCGAGCGCGCGCGCTTGGCCTTTAGAATTCCGAATTGAAAAGTCGGAGGATATTTCAAGGCGAGGTATAAACGCGCGACTCTCCCGTGAGAGACGTCTCTCTCTCTCTCTCTCTCTCTCTCTCTCTCGTTATTTGCGCAGCGTGGACTTCGCATACGGCCGAACCGAGACGAAGGCGCGGAACCTCGCGCGGTCTTCTCTATGCTAATGGATTCTACACTGAAGGCGCGGATAATAATACCGTGGACACGGCACGACGCGCTCGTCGATATTTCGATGTTGAGTCACGAGTCGGAGAACGCGAGACAGGATTATACAGCGACTATAGTCCGCGAAATGCCGAAGGAGAGAGAGAGAAGAGAGGGGCAAGAGAGAGAGAGAGAGAGAGAGAGAGAGAGAGAGAGGGAGAGAGAGAGAGAGAGAGCACGCGGTTTTGCTCGCTCAAGAGTCGGAACGGGAGTCCGCGGAGCACCGACTCCCAGGAGCACCGCCGTAATTATAGCGTTTAGAGCTACCGAACGGTAACTGAAACCTCCCTGAGCGACGCGAGAAAGGGCGAGCTCCTGAAACCGACGATCTACGCCTAATGAAGAGGAAAAGCCGAGCCCTCGATGGAATGTTGCCCCGAATGATATTCCGGGGTGAAAGGGGAATCTTTGCGCGCGCGCGGGCGAGGAAGAGAGAGAGAGAGAGAGAGAGAGAGAGAGAGAGAGAGAGAGAGAGGTCGATTAAACGGATCCCAAAATTCCCCGGAATCGGCAAGATGAATGGTCCGTCGATGAGACATCGCTTTCTGCAGAGGCACTCGCACTCGACGTATCGAATCGCACTGAGAGCCATTTAACATTTCCCCGTTTTTCACGTCCTTGTCCGATTTCCCAGCTGCCTCCTGCCAGCCTGGCTCGCGTAAATGTTCGCCGAAGAATCGGCTGGCCATTTCATTCGCGAGAAACCCCGTTGACGAGATAAGCCGGGCGCGCGTTGGCTAACATCTCGAGAGGTAGTTCGATGCCCTCGGATGCTCGAGAGACGAACGGTCTTCGCCTTGGCGTGGGCGAGGATGTCGTCGAACTTCCGAAGCTCCATCGACGAGAAAGCTCGTCGTCTCCGTTGTCGTCGTCGTCGTTGTCGTCGTCGTCGTCGTCGTCGTCGTCTTCGCCGCAACCTTCGTCTCCATCTTCGCCTTCGCGCTCGTCCTCAGCGAGGCTCCACGTGTCGAGAGCGGGCCTCGCTGTACTTTACGGGCATTGGCCGAACGAATTCGTCATCCCGGGCTTGAAGACGTGGCCCGCGGTAACGGACGAGAGCCGGCGAGGAGTCGAGGGAACGAAGGGGGACTCGAACTCGTCTCCGTCGCGGAGAGCCGGTCGCCGCCGCTGCGGACCTCGACGCTGTGGAATATATCCGATATCTTTGGAATGGGGCATAGGTCCCAACGACGCGGCGGCGGACATTGCCTGAACCTGTCTCCACGCATCGAAGTCTGCCTGCTCACCTGCATTCCATCAAGAGGGGCCAGGAGGGAGACCTTTCGGGGCCCGCGCAGGGCCGTGCGCAATGCGCGTCGCACCCGGCGCACTAATCATTCGCGACTTTCGCGGAGAGACCGAGAAGAGCTCCTGCAAAGTTGTAATCGCGCATCGATAGTCGCGGAAAGCGCATCCAATGCGAGATCGTCTCGACTCGAAACCTCGACACCGGAAACCTCGACGAATTTCATTTCTCATTGTTAAAGACCGCGTCGCTCTTGCCCGGACATTATTCTCATTTTCATGAAGGATTTTGGAATGAGTCGCGACGAAACCGTGATGAGTTTCGCTTGGCTGAACAAAGGAAGCTTTTCTAAGGAGCGGCATTCGGCGGTTCCGACGATGCCGCGGAGTCTGGAAGGGAATACAAATACAATGTATTTAATCGTAATACTCCCGCTCGGAGCACCGGACGACTTGATTTGCATACGTGGCTGCGGGAGTCCTGAATACGCTCCTAGCGGACCGGCTCTCCGTGGCGAGAGTGTGGGATTGGTGCACACCGAATCACCGAGATCAGTGACGTAGTGGTGGACGCAGAGGGCGGGAAATTCTCAGGTTCGAGAGTGGTTCGCAAAAAGAAAACGGAGAAGAACAGAAAAGAGAAGCGAAGGAAGCGAAACGGGAGAAAAAGAGAAAGGAAAGGACTAAAAGTCGGAGATAAAATGAGCGAACGCGCTGGAGCCGCTCTTCTCTCTCTCTCTCTCTCTCTCTCGACGGTCTCGAGCCTACCACTTCATTTAATCTCGCCCTAATATCGTGCTCGTGAAAGGCAGCACCGTGTTGTCCGTTCCCTTTCCGCGCGCGCGCGCGCGCCTTCTCTCTTTCTCTAAAAATGGACTTCATTGTCAATTAATTCCTCTACCACGGCCCCGGTTTTTGCGCAGACTTGACAATGAAGCGCCGCGCGACGGCCGCGCGCGGCGCGAATAAACGCAAGACGCTGGAACACGAGACACCGCTATCGGGTTAAACGCGCAAACGAGTTGCGGCAGGACGGCGACGCGGAGGGATGGCGACAGCGACAGAAGTCGCCGGAAAATCGATCACTCATCGCGACCGCGAGCGAACGAAATGAACTCCTCCGCGCTCGTCATGTTGGCGGAGGACTCGTCGCGGAATAATTCGCTGCTCGCTGCTCTCTCGCCTCTCCCGCCTCTCCCGCGTTAATAGCTACGCTACTGTGGCCGTTTAAACGCTCCGAGAAGCTTTAAAGGACTGTCAGGTCAGATTTATGAAAGGACTTTCTTACGCGCGTGCTCGCGCTCCCTTCCCCCGTGTGCTCGATTTCAGCGATTAATAATTATCGACCGTCTTAATTGTCACGGTGATAACGATGTTGCGTGGCGCGGTAATTCACATGAAATTACCGCGCCAGCCTTACGCACATATTATTATCGGCATGCTGTGCCTCGCACCTCGCGAGTGACCGCCTCCTCCGTTACTTTCTTCCGCGTTGCCGCGGAATTTCCGTCCCATCCTTCTCTCTCTCTCTCTCTCTCTCTCTCTCTCTCTCTCTCTCTCTCTCTCTTCTCCTCTCTCTCTCTCTCTCTCTCTCTCTCTCTCTCTCTCTCTCTCTCTCTCTCTCTCTCTCTCTCTCTCTCTCTCTCTCTCTCTCGTCTTCTCAGCGACTCTGAACGTACTCGCCGACGTACGCGACGTCGGCGTGACGTTCTAATGAGAATCGCGAGCGATGGCTCGCCGGGAATCAGAAACTTCCTTGGAATCTGCTACATCTCGGGCCCCGTTTCTTTTCCGATAAGCTTGCGCTCCTCCGGGCTTCTTTAGCGGCTGGTACGCGCGATTCGCGCGTGTACATGTATATGCATACAAAGGAGATACGGCTGGGGGATACCTGGCACGTATCTGCATTCCTGCGAGACGGCGGCGCGCGGGAGCCCACCGCCGAGAGAGACGGGCCTGAAAGGGCCCCCAATGTGTTCGAGAACACGTCGGCCCTATGGCATGCGGCTCGGCCCAGCGCGCTCTCGGTGCTCTCGGGGTCATGAGAAGTTAAGTAGCCACTCCGGGGTCCCACTTCGAAGGCGAACCTCCCAAAGTGTGATGCAACGTACGCCTCAATCAGCGACGTGTAATAATCCCGCTTCTCATGCCCGTAGCACGCGGTGATCGATGCCATCACCTGACGACGCCGTCCGTCGCCGCTCCCTCGTCCGCGAGGGAATAATTAAAAATACACCGACGACGATGGACCGACGGTAGACTACTCTTTTTCTCCCTTTCTCTCTCTCCCTCTCTCTCTCTCTCTCTCTCTCTCTCTCTCTCTCTCTCTCTGCCTCGCGCGCTGCTAAGCTCCGCAAGCAAGGCACAAAGCAAATCGCCTTTCGCGTTCGCCACGTCGAATGATAACGTTACAAAAGTGTCGTCTCGAGAATTACGTAAGCAGTCTGAAAAGTTCTCGACCTGACACATACATGGCATTAGAAACTGTCAAACTATAATTGTATTGAAAAGTGGCATCCCTGATATAGACCCATGTGAAATTTTATTCGATCTGTCAAGTTATTCGAGTAGTAGCACCAGTTGAAAAAGCTTTTGTGCAAGATGGGTGCCGCGTTTGCTAACAACTGACCGAAAACGCGTTCGAATGCGTATTTGGCACATTTTAATTTTTGTTTTAAGCGAAATAAAATGGATTTCAAGCGTTGTTTCATGACTGTTGATGAAACTTGAATTCACCACTATGTACCACCAGAGCGAAAAGAACCTTCCGGAATCACACTTTAATGACGGTATCGAGTTATTGGAAAGACGTTGAAATAAATGTATTGAAGTTTCAGGGGATTATATTGAAAAATAAAACATATTTCACGGCAAAAAAATGTTCTTTCATCGTTAGGCCGAGAACTTTTCAGACTGCCCTCGTATTGCGGCAATTTTTCTCTTCTCTCTCTCTCTCTCTCTTTCTCTTTTTTTCTTTTAAGAGAACTCGAGAGCCGAGAAGGTACTCGAGGGTTCGTTAGTAAAATCGATCCCCTCGCGAGCGCCTGGGCTTTGATCGGAATTGACCTGTGTCTGATGTGGAAATAACTCGGCGGGAATTTTTATCGGTAATTCTAACGGTTAATGGTATGCCTGCTGTTGCGTAAGACGCTTTATTGCGCCGGGCTCGGGTAATTTTATTCTCAGGCGACGTTTTTAGCAGAGGCTCTCTCGGTTAATGACACGTGAATTAAAAATAACGCCTCTCTCGGCAACTTTTACACCAGTCATACACGCGCTCGACGGTGACGTTTACTCCCCGCGCTTCGGAGAAATGGCATTGAGTCATTTGGTGCAACTGAATTCGCGCGAAAATTCGCTGAGACGAGGAAGCGATCGACAGAAATTCGTCGGAATATTCAGCTGTGTGTTAAAAGTCGGCCGAGGTAACTGGGAACAATCGACCGAGCTGCCTCCCACGCTCCCACACAAGCGAGTTTTTCACTTGGTCAAGCTTGTTTCTTCCCAGAAAAATTCAGTTACACCAACCGAATCGCCCTTCCCCCTGCCTCCCCCCCCCCGTACGTTGATGCGCGTCTCCATCATCATCGATTGTATCCGATAATCAATTTATCTCGGGCGACTCGCGCGCTACCCCCGCGAAAATTCTTCTTCTTCTCTCTGTCACGGTCCGTATTTTTCTCGCTACATTGCAGGAAGCTCGGCCTGGACCTGGTGCCGCGTCAAGGTGCTCACATGGTGGACCCGGATACCATGTCCGTAGTCGAATTGTATCATGTGGTAAGTGTCACGAACGCGCAATTCGAAACGTGAGAACCGCAGTCGAATAGCACGCCACGATGAAAAACGAGCAGCGCACGCGCGAGCTGCCGGCGGAATTCATTAAAATGCCGATCACGAAGGTAGCCTCGTTTAATTTCTCGACGTGCGAGGCGATACAGTTACCTTGCCGACCCTGGCTCCTCCCGGCCACGAGCAGAGCTGGTTATGGTCGTTCCAATTGGCGCGCGAGCGTCTTGATATTTCGCGCGATGTCATGACTACGAGCCTGATCGTTTCCATCCATCGCAAGCGATAAAACCCGACGTAACGTCATTCTCACGTGAGACCCAGCTCGAGGTGGGTCGGTGCGTTCATGAAGCAACAGCTCCTTCGGCTAATTCCCGCCGATATCTCGCGACATTACAACGACAAAATCCCCCCCCCCCCCCCACCTCCACCATTGGCTCAACCTCGACTTAGGAGCGAGTATCTTAACTCCGTAAGCCCGGGCTGAGTTTTGGAAGCTGACCTAATCTCGCTATAAATAAATGACGTCACCCGCGTAGCTCTAATAGCAGGCTTTCCTCCTTCGGGGATTGCAGCACGTGCAGAGCGCCGAGAACTCGCAGGGCGCGTCGGCTCGCGGCACCCTGCGCCGCAAGGAGCACAAGAAGATCCTTACCCACCACCTGCACTTCTGCATGAGAGACTTCGGCCACTCGGTCGGCGAGGACACCGAGATCTACTTCTCCTTGTTCGACGCCAAGCGGCTGCAGTACCTGAGCGAGCGCTTCCTCGTGCGCATCTCCAAGGAGGGCTTCTCCAACTACGTGGAGAAGATGCACAACAACTGCACCATCTTCACGGATCTCGGCAACTCCGACCTCAGCCGGGACCTCTACATGATCGCCCACGTGATGCGCTGCGGCAGGATGCTGTACTCCGACTCCGGCAAGAACAAGACCGGGACGGCTACCTACAGACGGCCTCACGGAGTCGCGGTGCTCTCCCTGGCGATGCTGTCCTTGGCGGAGGCCGCGCAGGATCACGCGGAGGAGCACGAGGTGACGTTCAAGGTAAGCGAGGAAGATGGAGGCTGGTGGGAAAGGTCGGCTCCTGTCGAGAACGGACTCCTCCGTTGTCCGCAGGTGTACCAAGGTGATGAGAAGGAGTTCCACCAGCTGCACGAGCAGATCATACGTAACAACAAGTGCTCGCCGCTACCCGGGCAGCCCAATTACGGGATAGTGGTGTCCCTTCGCATCCTGCACGGCGAGCTGTCTCAGGTCCGCGAGGAGAACCCGTTGCTGTTCAAAAATATCTGCCTCACGAAGAAGCTCGGCTTCTCCGACGTCATAATGCCGGGCGACGTGCGTAACGACCTGTATCTGAAGCTGGAGCGGGGTGAATTCGAACGTGGCGGCAAGTCCACCGGCAAGAACATCGAGGTGCGATTCTTCTTCTTCGAGTGGACAATTCTTTTTCGCCGCGCGAAAGGGAACGCACCGCGCTGAAATTCGTAATTTCATGCGGTGCTTTTGCGCTCGACACAATATCTCGCGACTCTCGATATTCAATATTCTTCACGTTCGATATTCCGGGTATCCAGCGCGGTGAGAAACCCTCCTTCAGAGTTTTTAATACAACAGATTATAATGTTGCGAGCGAGACCGCCCGTCTATCATTGGCCAGAAAGTGGAGTCGATGAGTTCTTTGCTTCGTCAGGAATAAGAGTATCTCTGAGTAAAATGAATGAAGATCACTCGTTCGAATTCTGTTGATGTGAATGAAATCAGGTGACGATCTTGGTCCTGGATGCGGACGGTCAACCGTTGGAGGGCTGCCTGTTCGGAGCCGCGGGGATGGACGGTAGCTCCGAATATCAGAGTTTGGTCATATATCATCACAACAGCCCGTCGTGGGCGGAAACCGTGAGACTGGCGATACCCATCGACAAGTTCTACGGGAGCCACGTGCGTTTCGAGTTTCGACACTGTTCGAGTAAGTTTCCGATGGATGTCGGTCAAGCGAACTCTGGCCTTTCACTTTTCTCTCACGTCCTCGCCCCACTCCGCCCACGCGTCGTCTGCCTCTTCATCTATTCTCTATCGGAACTTTTTTTTTGCCCACCCCCTCCCTCGATCGGTGGTGCTTTTGTTTCAGCGCGCGAGAAGAACGACAAGAAGCTCTTCTCCTTCGCGTTCGTGCGGCTGATGGAGCCCGGAGGGGCTACTCTTCAGGATGGTCCCCACGAGCTGTACATTTACAAATGCGAGGAACGTGCGAAATTGGATTCGCTGAGTTATCTGTCGTTGCCGAGCAGCGCGAGAGAGCCGAGCGCCTCAGGTAATAAGGCGCCGTGTCTTGCTCAACGAGCTAAATGTATTCAAATGATATTCGGAATAATAACGACGAGCGAGGAAGAAGTAAATTAGTAGTCGTTCAACGGGTGAAGATGAAATGAAAAATCAGCCGGCCGAAACACCGAGGGTGTATGTGTGTATTACGGTAACAGTCGGGGGAGATCTTTACACGCTGCTTGTGCGGTGCTTGTTCACCAGGTCCGCCGGCTTTCTCCAGATCGCCCAAGGAAGCCGTGTTCGTGCACACTTTGCTGTGCAGCACCAAGCTGACGCAGAACGTCGACCTGCTGAGCCTGCTGCAATGGAAGGCTCATCCGGAGCGCATATCCGAGGCGCTGAGTCGCGTACTTCGATTGGACGGCGAAGAGCTGGTGAAGTTCCTCCAGGACATCCTCGACGCGCTGTTCTCCATGTTTCACACCGAGGACGGTAATTCAACGGCGCACTCGGGACTGGTGTTCCAAGTGCTCGTCTCCATCTTCAGCCTGCTGGAGGACTCCAAGTTCGAGCACTTCAAGCCGGTGATGGACGCGTACATCTCCGACCACTTCGCCGCCGCTCTGGTGTACAAGGGCCTCCTCAGCAGCGTGCAGCACTGCGCCGATTGGGTGACTGCGGCGGAGAAGCAAGAGCCGATCATAAAGTGCTTCCGTTCGCTCGAGTACATCTTCAAGTTCATCATTCAGAGCCGACTGCTGTTCGCTCGGGCGACTGCCGGCCAATACGAGGATAGCTTCAAGCGCGACCTGTACTGCGTGTTCGCGGCCCTCAACAAGATGCTGTGCATCCCGTATGAGATGGTGCTGATGTCGCAGATCGCGCTGCTGCTGTCGATCGCGGCGGTGTTCGAGCAGCTGGTGGCGGTGCTGCCGGTGCTCGAGGTGGCCAAACTCACCTGCACGATGTTGGACTCGCTGCCGCGGGAGTCGTCGCCGCAGCTCACGCAGGCCAAGCTGGTGGCCATCAAGAATCTCACCTCGTCCAGCCTATTTCGTGAGGACGACGAGAGCAGGAATCTGCTGCTCGGCACTGTGTGCAAACATCTGCGTTTACACTTGGCACGTAGGGAAGAGCTGCGCTCTTGCACGGATATCTTGGGCGAAATACTCAGCTTCCTGCACAAGCGCGGCAGGGACACGAACAAGGTCAATAATTGCATCCACCACGACGTTGAAACGCTCTGCCTGTCCGTGCTCGACATGCTCATACAGACCATACAGATCGTGATCAAGGCTAGCGGCCCGGTTCTCGGCTGCTTAGTGGCCTGTTTGATCGGATTGCTTCAGCTTCTCGACGAGTATCATTACACGCGGCTCTGGGAAGAATTGACGCACGCAGGCGAGCGGAAGCCGCTCAAGGACTTCCTGCTCAAGGTGTTCGAGGTGTTGGGTGAGCTCGTGCGCCAGGAGGTCTTCCCTCCGGACTGGCTGGTCATCAGGATGCAGGCCAACAACGTGATCCTGAGGTCGCTGCAGGAGCTTGCGCAGCCGCTCGCTTTCCGTTTCCTTCATGGCGGTTTCGACTCGCAGCTCTGGTCAACATATTTCAACCTGGCGGTGGCTTACCTCACCCAGCCGTCGCTTCAACTCGAGCAGTTCTCCGAAGTGAAGAGGGAGAAGATCGTGGAGAAGTACGGCGACATGAGGGTCCTCATGGGTTTTCAGATACTATCCATGTGGTCGCACTTGGGCGAGCGTAAACTCGAGTTTATACCCGGCATGGTCGGGCCCTTCCTCGAGGTCACTCTGGTGCCTGAGAGCGAGCTCCGCAAGGCGACTCTGCATATCTTCTTCGACATGATGGAATGCGAGCAGCGAGCCCGCGGGAGTTTCAAATTGGTGGAGTCCGAGCTGATCGACAAACTGGACATTCTTATCAGCGAAAACAAGGGCGACGACGAGTACAGACAGCTGTTTAACACTATGTAAGTTTACGTGTGTGACGAGCTGACTTGATCGAATTCTCCTACATAGTCTCACGTCGATATACACATATTTGTAATTTCATGCGGCTTCAGGGAACACCTTAGCGCCGTGTAAGTGTTACGTTTGCAGTCAATTCTGATTTCCTTCTTCGAATGTGTGTGTGTGTGTGTGTGTGTGTGTGTGTGTATGTGTGCGTGTGCCTGTCTCCGGTTTAACGTAACGTTTATTGTCGCGTACAGATTACTGGACAGGGTGCAGTCCGAGGATCCAGCCTGGAAGGACAGTGGGACTGCCTTCATAACGTCCATCACGCGTTTGTTGGAGAGACTTCTCGATTACAGGAGCGTGATCCAGGGCGACGAGAACCGCGACAAGCGTATGTCGTGCACCGTCAATCTGTTGGTGCGTATATTATCAACAGCAATCTCGGATTGCGCGTAACCAAACCTGTACGTGTACGTGTACGTGTACGTGTACGTGTACGTGTACGTGTACGTGCAAGTTACTTCTCTCTATCTCAACTTGATTCGTGCTAATTAACTGCCGCCGTGCGACTGACACATGTGTTGAGCTGATGTGATTACATCTGGTGCGCGCACGTTGTCTCGTCGTGCGCGCGATACTTAGCACTTCAGTTTGCGCTCGCCGGTGGAAATTTTATCGTTCCTCCGATCGCGTCCTCAGTCGCTCAATCGTCAGCCATTTGTAGCAAAGTGCACGGGTGCAAATATCTCACAGTGACATGGGGATACTCCTGTTGCTCTTGCAGAACTTCTACAAGAACGAGTTCAACCGGAAGGAGATGTACCTGCGCTACATCTACAAGCTGCACGACCTGCACCTGGCCGCCGAGAATTATACGGAAGCCGGCTTCACGATGAAGCTCTATGCTGACCAGTTGGACTGGGGATCCACAATGCTGCCACCCGATCACGCCCATCCTCAGCAGCCGGAGTGGCAGCGCAAGGAGCTGCTTTACCACAAGATCATTCACTATCTCGACCGCGGCAAGTGCTGGGAGAAGGGTATCCCTCTGTGCAAGGAACTGGCGGAGCTTTACGAGACCAGGCTGTACGACTACGCCAAGCTCAGCCACGTGTTGAAGTTGCAGGCCACGTTCTTGGATAATATCCTCACGCAGCTGCGCCCTGAACCGGAGTATTTTCGCGTTGGATTTTACGGTCTCAGCTTTCCGCTTTTCGTCCGAGTAAGTTTGCCATGAATCCAGGGTCTGCGAAGAGACTCGCATGATGCGAGGCATGAGCTCGCTTGACATTATCCCCTCCTTTCTTTGTCACAGAACAAGTTATTCATCTATCGCGGTCTGGAGTACGAACGGATAGGAGCGTTCACGCAACGCCTGCAGACCGAGTTCCCCTGTGCTCAGATACTGATGAAGAACTCCCCGCCAGATGAGAGCATCCTTACCTCCGAGGGTCAATGTAAGCGAGACTAAATTCAGCAGCGACTCTCTGAGATTGGAAGTGATTGCCAGTGTATTATCCCTTTCGCCCCATTGTTTCCCCAGACATTCAGATCTGCAATGTGAAGCCGATCCCCGAAGAAGGCAGCTTAGCTTGCAGCGGCGCGGAGGTACCAGAGCGCGTGGTCGCCTTCTACCTGGTGAACGACGTGCGCAGGTTCACATTCGACCGGCCCCTTCATCGCGGCCCGGTGGACCGTGAGAACGAATTCAAGTCGCTCTGGATCGAGAGGACAACGCTGACGACAGAAGCACGACTGCCGGGCATTCTGCGGTGGTTCGAGGTGATCGAGAAACGGTCCGAGCTACTGGCGCCGGTGCAGTACGCCTGTGAGACCATGCAGAGCGTAGAGAAAGAGTTGAGAAGACTAGTCACGCAGTACAGAGCCGAGCCGCACAGGAACATCAACCCCTTCAGCATGCGGCTGCAGGGTATCATCGACGCCAACGTAATGGGCGGCATCACCAAGTACCAAGAAGCCTTCCTCACGCCGGAGTTCGCCTGGCAGAACCCCGAAATGGTGCCGCACGTGAACAGACTGAAGAGCCTAATTCTGGACCAGATGAACGTCCTGGAGTCCGGCCTGGTGTTGCACGGCCAGATCGCGCCGGACGGGGTACAGCCGCTGCATAAGAGGCTGATTGAGAGATTCACGCAACTCAAGCAAGGCCTTGGTCCTCTGGCCAGGCAGAGGACCATTCATCAAGATAGCATTGTCAAGTAATTATGAGCTACAGTGATATGATATCTTTATCCGATTAGAAACCGATCAGAGTCGTTCCAATGTAACTTACATTTTTCCAACTACAAGTTTCCAACGCCTTGCGTTATTGTACGCGCGCTCTTCTAGTTCGCCACTGCCACCCCTGCCAATCAACGACAAGCAGCGTCCGGCCACTTTGGAGACCGCCGGTTCCAGAGCGTCGCACGCCGACAGCGACGGTCTGCCGGAGGACGAAGGCTTTTACACTAGAGTGGACGGCGCACCGCCTCCTATTCCACAACGAGAGGTTCGCCCACGTTCCGTGGGCTATGGCTCCACACCGCCGAGACCCACACATCAGAGATCCCTCAGCAAACCGCTGAGTCCGAAGCTGCCGCTGAGGCATTCTCTGCCGACTCCTACCGACGGCGTGGACCAAAGCGGCCTTAGAAGCTCCTGGAGCGAGCCCGGACCCGAGCCCGCTCCGCCATTACCACCTAGAGGCTGCAGTAAGTTAATTTCTTCGTTCTCGCAGTTTGGAAGAGAGCAGCAGGTGTTTTTTGTTATAATTATACCGCGCGTGTATGTGTAGATTCTTGTTTAATTACTTCATATTAATTACACAGTCAATATACGAACTAATTAGAAGCGTGCAAGAATGATACTTTCTTGTAATAATCTCTGATTAAATCTCTGACAGAACGCGATGAGATAAATATATAAAATTTGTGAATAATTTAATCTGCAAATCTCTTCCGGCAATAAAAATGCCGAATGGCGATCCGGAGTACAGTTTCGTCGAGTTGTTGATGTTGCGAATTATTTCGCAAAGTGACAGAATGAAGACTGTGAGTTCTACTCTCGGACGAGTAAAGTCGCCAAGGGAGTATATCGCGACTCGTGCACGCAGCGCTTCTTGTTTCAGCGCCGGACAAGAGAGACTCCAACGCGAACACGAACACGAACACGGTCGTGCCACCGGCGCCGCCGAAACGTCTAGCACACAAACGCAACACAGAGTGGAGCACAGACGACGACTCTGAGATGCAGAACGAGCCGAACGATCTGCGCGACAGCGGCATCTCCACCGCCAGCCTGCTGGACTTCCAGTCGCACTTGACGAACTTGAACAACCTCGGCTACGAGGACTTTGAGCCGCGCTCCAGGTGCAACGACATCATGAACATCTCGCCGCCTTCTGTGATAAGCGCGCTGAACGTCTCCACTGGTAACTTTGCCAGCGGCACATTCCAGGGTTCGCATTCTCTTCCGGGCCAAGAGGTGAGGGTTATGAAATTGTTGGACAAGAGAGAGAATACGGAAATATAATTTATAGAAATATAAAAATATACGGAAGTGTAAGAATACACATGAAAGTCAATTGCAGGAAAAATCTAGTAATGTAGAAATGTGAAAGAGATATGAATGATAGTGCAGAAAGGCAAACAATCGGAAAATATGGGAATAGAACGGGAGATAGAACGTATCTTTACCACTAGAATTTAGCTGTTATCGTCCTGACATTTAAAGACTTTTCCCTTTTCCGCAGCAGGTGAGCCCTCCGCCAATTCCTCCCAAGGCCCACCAGGACACTCCCTCGGCCCCTTCGACCTTGGAGAGAGTATCCAACCGGGCGCAGACTCACGGCCATTCGGAGAATTATTCCGTGCCGAAGATGCAGACCCTCTCCGTGGCGTCCGACACGGAGAGCACCGTGTAGCGACGATGTATCTCCCTAGTCCTTAGCGATTAATCGTGATGTGTATGTGCCATGGTCGGGCGCGAATCTTGTATTCGATGCGTTCCAGTATTGGGCGGATTCTCTTAGACGGTAACTTAACGTAAGCGTAAGAGTGTCGTCATCGTCGTCGTCATCGTCATCGTCATCGTCATCGTCATCGTATCTAAGAGGAGGAGAGCGCGGACTCGGGTCTGCCGTTGTAGAAGTCTCTGACATCCGCACGCCATTCCGTACGTAGCTGGTAGCCGTAAGCGAAACAAACCGAACGTAAACGACCCGAAATCGGATCCTTCCGAGCGTAACACAAAGTGGATTGCACGCGTACATTCGTCGTAGGGATAGGCGATGTTGAAGAGAGGAATCGACGTCCACAAGTAAAGGGTTGAAAGATAATCAATTTCCGACAATCGACTACATTTCTGAGATATTCTAAGAGTCTTCAGTTGATCTTTAATCCCTTTACGTGTGATTATTTAATATCCTTATACAATTTAATATATAAATAAGTTAATAAAAAGGTATATTTATATGTATCTTTTTTTTTTAAACTTCGTCGCTGTAATTTTTATACATTTTGACGGTTAATTTGACGGAAAATTTATGTACATAGAGAAGGACGGTTGAACAAAGTTCAAAGGAACTCTTTTCGCCCACGCCAAGTCCGATATGACTGACGGCTTTCATTACCATCACTTCGTATGTTCAGTTGCATTATCGAGTATGATGAGATAAGGTGAAGGTAACTCGAACTCTTTAACAGAGAAAGAATCAAACATCGATTTATCGGTCAGACATCGCTTAACTCTAATTTATACTTTCATAAAGAAAGCAAAGGGGTGAAAGGGAGGAAGAAACAGCAGGCGCGTAATAATCGCTCTTGAACACCGAGAACGTCCAGTGAGATTGTTCTCGTCCGGAGCGATTGCGATCGGACTCCGGTTTGGACGTGACCGGCGATCGAATCGCGATGCGCACTTGTCGATATCGATGTTACGTTGAAAACGTCGCTCTTCCAAGTATATCAATCCACACACACAACACACACACACACATACACTCTATATTTTGTAATTTATTTATATTTTCAATGAGAATAAAGGTAATTTTTATCAACGACACTGGCTGCAGACTGCTGTAGGCTGATTGTCGACAACTTTCGTTGTCGCGAGTCGCGGTGCAATGCGGAGAGACAAGCGTGAGAAGAAGCGAACTCCGCTGAAGGGTATATAAATTATGTATTTCATTCTTTTCTTTCGGCATACGAATATATATATAAATATATACAAAAGTATTGAAAAATCGCGCCGCACAATTGTACGTTTCGACTTACATTACTATTTCTTCTTCTTCTTCTTCTTCTTCTTCTTCTTCTTATTTTCTTTCATGGCATGTAAAATAAAGAGAAAGATTGTAAACTTCTATAAAAAACGAAAATGGACGTAATGGAACCTGAAATTATACATATACAATATATATATATATAGAGAGAGAGAGAAAGAGAAAGACAGACAGAGAGAGAGAGAGAGAGAGAGAGAGAGAGAGAGAGAGAGAGAGAGAGAGAGAGAGAGAGAGAGAGAGAGAGAGAGAGAGAGAGAGAGAGAGAAAGAAAGAGAGAGATGTAGTAGGGAAAAAGAAGGAAGAGACAGTGGAATGTATACATTGCACAATACTGAGTTTGAACATAGAGAGGGAGAGGGAGGGAGGGAGGGAGGGAGAGAGAGAGAGAGAGAGAGAGAGAGAGAGAGAGAACTTAAGATGGAATGAGACTAATGAGATGCGTGATAATGATTAGAGATCATTTCCGTTCTCCGTGCCTCTGTACGTCACTGCCGTTACATCGGAGATACACAAATCTCGAAGCCGAGAGCAGCTCCCAAAATAACAACAAGCGCGGATATCTATACGCGGGTCGACCGGGGCGATCGAAGAGCTCCGTGCAAGGACATAGTCGCGAGTCGATAATTTGTCGGCTGCGAGTTCGAGCGCGAGCTCGTTAAACATAATTTACAAATCGACGGGATCTTACTTCGCGCGTTTCTGCGCGCTACGTTGAGCGAATCTTTCGACTGGCTCGATTAGATAAATATAACACCGCGATATTTTTCCAGACTCTCGCTCCGTATATATAATAAGTAGTCGTCAATTTTTTCAGGCGATCCGGTCGCTTGTTATCGGCTCGAGCATCGGCAGGTATCCCGGTGTAACGTTTATCTCCCTTCGTCGCGATCATTCCGACGGACCTTGCGGATGCGGTAATATGAACAGGCACTCACACATACATGCTAATTAATATGGCTAAGTATATAAGTACAGTCATGGCCGCTTCTTAAAATATATATGTATATATATGTTATTATTATATATATGTATATATATATATATATATATATATATATATGTATATCGATGATCGCGTTCTCGAGTCTTTATTGCGCGTGGACACTTAAGCTAAGTGTAAGCTAAATTACTTTGTACGTTGTTCTTGTTTGTGGCACGGAGCTCGTCAGACGGACGTTTCCGCATTAGTATCCTTCCTGAAACCAATGATGACGATCACGATTACTCGAAGCTGGCCGAACTAATGAGCACAGGTAAAATCGGCGAACGTATATAGAGACAATCGCGTCGCGCGACTCTTCAAGATCAGATCGAAAGAGCGATTTTCGCAGATTTTCGTCATGCTTACCTCCTCGCTGGTGGTTTTAGTCGTCAGTGCAAGCACGGATCACAGAAAAGATAGAGTTATGTTAGAATGTTCCAACGCCACCTTTCGCATACAGCAAGGGAAAACGGGAAACCAAAGAAACCACATTAACGAGCGTTAACAGAATCTGCGCTGTTTTTCTATATCGTCTACGTCTCTGCTAGATATACGTGGTTTGCCCGGAAAGTTTTTTTGGACAATCACTTTCGAAAGACCATCGGATAGATCAGGTGTGTCTCTCCTTCGAAATATTCTCATAGCTGCGAAGCTATGCACTTATTGCAGCGTTTCTTCCATCGCCAGAAACTTCCATCTCTGTGTGGAAGTCCTTCTAGTTCTAATCTAATATTTGTATCGATGAAGAGTAAAACACTATCAATTTGACTTTCTTGAGGCCTCGCTTCTCTCTAGTGCCTCCGTTTTCTACCCTGATCGCGTTTGACTTCAGGATCGTGCTTGCAAATTTACGATTCACGCGACGCGTGTAATTTTATCAGAAATTTGATACCAATCCCCGACTCTTCGAAAATCTTCCGGTAACAGCAACGCGCTGATAAGCGTTAATTAAAAAGGAGGCCTCAAAGATAACGATATAATCACGAGCGAGTGGAAATTTGCACTGATTGCAGACAAAATGTATTCAACGCAACGCATTGTCGGTTGCGGCGATGGTGTCGCTACTGCAGGAGAAAAAGAAACTTTTCGGACAGACCGCGTACATGTTAGATCGCCGCCCACTTCTCTTTTATTTATTATATTATATTACGTTGGATGTGATGTGTATCTGTATCGTCACCTTGTAAATTATTTTATACTTTAACGAACAGGACGACGCATTTCTTGCGGGTAATCGTTTACATAAAAGTTTCTATTTTCACTTACAAACATGACGAGGTGGTGTTTTATTTCTACAATTTACCGAGGTACTCGATATCGCGACATGGCGCTGCGTTTTATTCCTCATTTCGCAGGAATTCCCGCTTCTTCAGCATCAAATCCATCGTAGATCAAGAGACCAAGCATCTTATGTCGACTGCCACCTCGTATATACTCGCGGCAGAATAAACCCTTCCCTCCCCCATTGATACTCACTCAGTCTCGGTGATAGTCTGCTCATATTGCTGCTGCTGCTGCTGCTGTTGCTGCTGCTGATGCTGCCTCAACGCCGCCAGCTCGTTGCTGTGCTGCAGGTCGTGGGTCAACGAGCTGGACAGTATCCTGCCGCTCATCGGCAGGATGTACTCCGGCGTGTCCTCCAACACCGTGGGCGTCCTCTTGCCGCCGCGCTTCAGGCTACCGTACCTCTCGGACCCGCTGAGGTTGTCATGCTGAGAACTGTGCAGGCTTTGGCCTCTCTTCAGGCTGCCGTAGCGCTCGGAGCCGCTCAGGTTCTCGTGATTCGAATTCTGCGAATGGTGGCTCATGCTGGACGCCAGGATGCGCGACGACATGGACAGCATGTACGGCGTGGGCGACACCGTGTGGTCCTCCTCGGCGGTATACGGGAACAGATACTTTTCGCCCAAGTGGTGCACCTTCTCCTCGCCCTCCGAGTAGTTCTCATCCGGCTGACTCTTCTGCGGCGGGCTCATGTCCGGGTACGGCAGTGGGTTCGGGCTGGACGTCTTGTTCGAGGCCATCTCGTTGTCCGACATGGTGCCGCCGGACCATTGGCTACCTCGCACGTCCATTACTGCAACGCGCGATGTATTATTTTATTGCTGTGATATTGCTGATATTGCTGATTTCAGTATCGATTCGTTTGTCAGCGTACTTCATCAGGGCTTACCGTTCGACGCCAAGTACGCCTCCGGCAGTTGCGAGCTCCACCGGGGAGCGTAGATGGGTTTGATATTAGGGAACAGCTCGGCGTTTGAGCAAAGTATGTTCAGGTGTTCGGCGGGATTGGTGTGAATGTTGGGCAGGTAGCTGTGACTGACGTGTTGCTGCGTGGAAACGCCCATGTTCCTGTGCGACCTCGACGTCACGTCGTCCTCGTCGGAGCTGTGCGAGCTGGCGAGGTCCAAGCTCCTGCCGCCCCCTTCGGCTTGCGAGCCGTCAGAGTCTGATTCCGATTCTCTGCGCTGACCTCTCGTGACCTCCGTGGATTCTATCGAGGACGTTGAGATATGACGGCGGATGTGACAATCGTGTGTCCTCGTGTGTATTGATTCACATGGAGCGTGCCTCTCACGTACCTTGTCGAGACTGTAGCGCGGACCTGTGACTCCTCGACGACAGATATTGATCGCGATCGCTGTTGTAGTTGCTCGTGGACGTCGACGTGTGCCTCAAGTGCGTATCACTACGATACGGGCTCGAGCCCGTCTTGTTTGTACTTCTCGAGGTTGTGCTGCTCGTGGAGACGCCGACGTGGACTCTTCTGCACACGGACTCGGCTCCACTGTAGGTCGACGAGTAGGCTAAGGCGGAACGCTGAAACGTACAATCATCAATACCTCAGTACTATACTCTCGGATTCTTTTCACGTTTTCTCTTTCTCGCTCTTTTAATCTCGGTTTCTCAACGTGCGATAAGGTCAAATTAGATTAGTGAAAACGAGACGAATTTCAAGGCAGAGGAACAAATTACCGAGTGGCCATTTACGTTTTGACTGCTACTCCCGTTGCCCATGCTTCCTTCCAGCAGAGGAGTCTTCTTGCCCATGCATCTCAACAGACTCTGATATAAATTCCTCCTCACTCTGCCGTTGACGAAGCAGTAGCCAATCAGACTGAACGCCGCATGGACCACGATCGCGACGCTCAGCAGGTACGACAGCGTCGACGAGTTCTCGGACGCGTTGAGAACCGCCAGCGTCCACGTGGAGCCCAACAACGGCAACGACGCCACGGACAGCCACAGGAGCGTTCTCAGATTACCAAAGCCCATGACGTGCTCCTTCAGAGTGAACGCCGCGCGGATGCACATGATAAGAATGCAAAAGTTCACCAACACGGCCGCGCACACCGGCCCTATCAAAGACCAGATCACGGTCTCGTAGATCGACAGCCAGCAACTGGAGAATCAAGCGATATTAAATGTTATCCTAATGAGAAAGAATTCATAGCTTACATAGCAATACCGACTGAGTTCAGCTGAAGCTTCAAGAAAGACTGATTACTCATCAACTTTTATCACACGTACGGTTTATTGTTTCCTCCCGTTGGCGCAAGTTACCTCAGTTATCAGTTTCAATCGTTCGTTCAACTTACAAGTAGAAATTTCCGTACTGATCAGCTCTGACGCCGATAGTGAGCCCGACGATAACAGCTGGCAGACCGTATCCCATGGTGTAATAAAACCTCATCTGACCGTGATTGACGTCCCTCATCTCCGTCAGCATTCGATAAAGATGAACAGAGTCCACGAGGGTCCAAGCGAAGGTGCTCAGCCAAGAGTAATGCAGTCCTATCGCCGTGAGCTTGCACGGAAACTCGTTGGATATGAGAGGGTTTCTAGCTTTGAGCGCAATCAGGTACAGAGTTTCCGCCAAGAGGACGCACAGGACCAAATTCTTGTGGATGCTGTTCGAGTTGGTGCCTCCGCCGCGAATTAACGCCAGGATCAAGAGGGCGGCTAGCAGCAACGGCAAGGCGAGCATGAACGCGCTGTAACTGGTCACATCTTCCAGCAGGGACGGCTCCGGGACGTATTCCAGGTCGAGGACGTCTGTCAGGATGGCGAAGGTGGACAGTTGCATGCAGGAGCAGTTGACGATAGTGCCGAAGGCCAAGGAGTTATCCTCGATTTCCGTGGTGCAGCCCATGCGACTCCATTCGCCGACCCTGAGCCGTTCGCAGTAGCCGAGATTAATCGAGATGGATCTTGTTATATCTCGTCTTGCGTCGACGCAATTCATTAGTAATTGCCTTACCCTCGCGCTGTGCTCCAGTGGACGCACTGTGGATTCGTTCTGGTCTTGAAATCGTCGTTCTCAGTGAGCCAGAGTCTAACCTGGATCGGAGTTTGCAAAGGAATTCCCGTCAAGGATTCGTAACCCTTCTCCGAGGGGACCAACACCGACACGGTCATCACTGGTGAACCGACTGCAACTTCCACGCCCCATCTAACTGCCACCGAATCGTCGAATCTATAAAACATCATTATTGAGATATTGAGCAGTTGGATGCTTGAGAAGATTCTTCTAACATAACCCGGAAGATTACGTCACGTACCTCTGCGGTAACAAATTCCCAAGTTCTTTATATTGCACATAACTCAACACAGCCTTCCGATTAGTGAGACTGTTCTTCACATTCAGCTCGCCTTGCATAAGGGGTTTGATGCCTAACGTATTGAGCGGTACTTGGATCTTCGAGTGAGGATCGAATCTACCGGGGTCGGCCATGTAATTGTTGTATTTTGGGAAACTAACGGACGGACCTAAGTGTGTTGGAGAGCTGAGGAAGGCGGAGGTGTCGGGTAGAACAACCTTCCGGTCAGCTTCCGAAGGCCTCGCTGTTGACAATGTGGGATCCTCCTTGTACTCGGCGGTCTCGTAACCGAAGAGACTCTCCGAAGTGACCACGTCCAGACCCAGCACTGAAATATATAACATCGACATATAATACCGACCCTCAAACCATTTATCGGCTCGTAGGGTACGAGTAAGTGGAAAAAGATCGACTACTCACCAACGTTACCGTCGACAACCTCGAAGGGGCTGGTGAACGTGTCGTGTTGAGACGCCGTTAGGGTCTTCAGGTACGTCGCCATAGCGTCCAGAACCTTATCCGGACTGTCTCCGTTAAGTTCAACAATCTTATCCCACTTCTCCTTATACTTAGATCTCAGAACCGCTCCGGCTATGCCGACCAGATGGGCGACATAATCCTTGTCTTGACTATGAGTGAGATTTAGTCCCACCAGGCTCTCCTCGTAACGTAGCAGCGCTATTAACAAGGATTCCGCCACCAGGAGGTCCGCACCGTACATCTCTTTGGTGACATTCACCGCCCTGTGAACGTCCTTCGCCATCTTCACGGCTACGTAAGTGTTTAGCGTGAGATCCTTGCTCTCCAAGGCCGCCAGCTGATGCCGTTGCTCGACGAACGCCTCTGAGGTGCAATTGAAGAGGTCAGGTGATTGCCAGCCGCCTAGCTTGTCGTCGCACGACCTGGAAGTCTTACCCTCGGCAGTGCCGGGGCAATCTTCGATGGCTGTCATCCCGAAGAGTGTCCTCGGCCACCAGAGACCGTCCGAGTACGACCTAGGACAGCCGTCGTAGACTACCTCGCAGCCCCTCAGCGTCACCTGAAGTATCGAACGAACATTAACGTCAGTCTCACCGCCGAGCAAATCTTATGTGTAAATAAAACCCATCTATTATTCCCATTGTGGGAATACACAATGAGGCTCTTACGCTCTTTTATCGTCTCTCACCTCGGCGTAAGTATTCGGACAGTCCGTGCACGATCGACCAATCACCCCGGTTCGACAACGACATTGGCCGGCCTCGCTGTCGCAACGCGGGCCGAAGCTGCCGGTCGTGTAGCACTCGCAGGGTATGCACTCCTTGAGCCCAGACGGTTGGTAGTGATTCTCCTTGCAGTAGCACTCTCCGGTGGTCTTGTTGCAAGCCGGGTCGTAACCCTTGGCCTCGTCGCAGTGACAAGGCCCGCACACAGGCGAGCCCCACCAGGTCGCCGGGCAAGGCTGATCAGCCTTGATCTCGCAGTAGTCACCGGAGTACTCCGGCGAGTTGCAGTCGCAGCGATAACCGCGCCTCGCGTCGGTAACATCCTCGACGCAAGTGCCAGTGCCGTTGCAGGGCTCGAGATCGCAGACCCGTTCGCAACTACGCCCGACACGGCCAGCGGCGCAGACGCATTCGCTGGATTGCCACTTGGTCACGCAGACGGACGCTTCCGGACAGTCCAAGCTACATTCAGACTCCGAGGGACAGCCAGCACCGACGTTCTCTTGAACCGTCGGTCTCTGGAGGATGCTCTGGTTGGTCCCGATACGCACATCCTGCAGACAGCCGTCGAAGAAGGCCAGCTCGGTGTTGGTCGCCTGGTCGGGACTGCCCACGAGGATTCTACCGACGTAGAGACCCTGCAGCTTGGCTGGTAGCGGCAAGATGATGGGTCGATCGCGGTAGTCCGCGTCCAGAGACACGTGGCCGCTCTGCCAGACGATCTCCAGTCGGTGCCATTCGCCGTCGGCGACGGTGCCGGCGCTGCGAATGACGTCGGCGCCGTCCAGCGAGGCTACCAGCTTCCCGTCGCGGATCTCGAGCAGGGCTGAGCTGTTCTGGCCGATTTGCACGCTCATGACGTACGCCTGCTGTGCCCGCGTTCGCAGACTGAGCGCGGTCAGCCAAGGCAGCTGTATCGGTCGTAGTAGCGGGTTGAAGCTGAGCATACCGTCGCCGTGGAAACTCCACGGCTTGCCGACCTCCTCGGAGCAGGTCGGTCCGGCGAAGTCGTCCTCGCACTCGCACACGAAGCCGGACCACACCTCGCGACACCTTCCGTTGTTCCTGTGAGTGAAACAGTCGTTTAATCATCTCACAGATTAACAATAAGACAAAGAGCAATTTCTCCGATTTCTCGTAATTTTCACGCATTTATCACGCAATATAATTGCACTGTATAATTTTAATTATTTCTTAATTTAATTTCCCAATTATTTCTTAATTTAATTCTAATTCCTCATCAGCGAATTCTCTTGTTGGCTTATTAATCGTGCATTTGACCTTAATTGTTTAATTTATCCACGTGGCTTACTTCGATTCAAATCATTTCAATTAATAATAGTCTCACTTCACATTGAGACTCGAATCGATCATTAATTTTACCTTCGATGTATTTTAATTTCTCGCAATTTAATCGTAATTCAGCAGAGATGCTTGTTTATAGTGTCTTTGCGAATCATTATCGGTTACCTGCAAGGTGACGAGGCGCAGAAGGCGGTTTTCTCGGGGCAGCCAGCGTTGGTCCCGTTGTCAGCCACGAAGGAATTGAGATCGACAAACACATGATCGACATAGAGATCGCTGATGCATCCGATGTAGTCCTTGTTTCTGATCTGAAAGCTGGACGGAATCGCCGGCAGACCGCCCAGTTGCAACGGCCCTGTCAGGTCGAGGAATCTGTGACAGGTCTCGGTGACGAGACCGCAGCGTTCCTCGAGGATTCTCTCGTCCCTGCCTGCGCAGGCCCATCTTGGCCCCAGTCTCTCCCCGTGCTCCAAAGCGAGCGCGACGTCGCAGTCGTCCAGAGACACGGTGACCGTTCTGTTGATGTAGGAAACCTCCACCTCGTGCCATCGACCGTCCGAAACACCGCCGGGTATACTCGCCGTGGCTCGAGTCACCTCGTCCCCGAGGGAGAAGCTGAACTGCACTTTCGAGTCTACGACCTCCAGAGCGATGAAGTCGTGACGCTCGTTGTACCTGCCGTTGTAGAGCAGTAGTCCATCGGCCAGTTCAGTGGCGAACTTTAACCTGAGATGCAAGCGATGACGTTGCCTGAGCGAGGCGAAGGTGAGGAACGTCGCCGGGCCAAAACTGCGCGCTCTCAGCTCGCAGAGAGGCGTCACGCTCTCCGAAGCGGCCACAGGACAACCTTCGCAGGTGAAGCCGCCGGAGTTCTTCATGGTGCATTGGGAGCCGCCCTTGCAGACTCCGGGCGAGCAGCCGTCGTGGTCTAGCGAGATCTCGCAGTTCTCACCGGTGAAGTCGGGTGAGCAGGTGCACGAGTAGCCGCCCTCTCGCCTGCGACAGGTGCCGCCGTTCGCGCAGGGGTTGGAGTAACACAGGTTCACCTCGGTGTCGCAGAGATAAGCTTCACGGCTACCGGTGAAGCCGCGAGCGCATCTACAGGCGAACGTAGTCACCGGGTAGATCGGCCGGAAGAGCACGGTGTCGCTGCTGGCGAAGCCGGACGCGTTGCCGAACTTCAACACCGTTAGGCACTCTTCGAAGTTCAAGCAGGGCTCCCGTACGCACAGGTTGTCGTCGAAGGGCAGAACGGTGACCGTGGCGAGTCTCGCGAGGATACCGCGGTTCAGGTAGACTCGCTCCTGGAGAAACTGCGGACTGTAGAACTCGTCGACCGTGCCTGGCTCGACCTTCCGCGCCGAGAAGCTCACGTTCAAGATCTTGCCGTGCACGTTCGCGTCCTCTTGGATGCTGAAGAGGAAGATATTCTCACGTGGGCAAGGTATGATCGCCGCTAGACCATCCAGGAAGTATCCCAGAAGCGGGCTGAGGAACGCTTCCACCGTCATGTCGTCCAGTCTCACGGTGATCGAGTTGAGCAGCATCTCGTCGGTGATCAGTCGCACCGACAACGTCATCGTGGCCTTCGCCTCGTTGATACCGTCGGTCACGGACACCTCCATGGTCGCCACTCGCGGCACGTTGGTATTGAGTTGCGGGGACAACCGGATCTCGCCGGAGGTCTTGTTCAGGTCGATGAGGTTGGCGTTGTTGCCGGCGAGGATGCTGTACACGAGATTGTCCGTGACGTCGGCGTCCACCGCCGGTATCCGGCCGATCGGCGCGGTTGGGAAGAAGTCCTTGAAGTTGTTGAAGATGATCTGGAAGTCCTTCAGCACCGGCGCGTTGTCGTTCACGTCGGTCACCAGGATCTGCACGAGAGCGTCCGAGCGCAGCGGCGGCGACGCCGCGCGCACCACCAGCTCGAACTTCTTCTTTGGCGACTCATAGTCGAGCTCCTCCAAGGTGATCAGCTCTGCCCGGTCGGCGCCTTGCCTGATGTTCAAGGCGAAGCTGTTGGAGTCCTCGCCGCCGATGATGGAGTACTGCACCACCGCGTTCGGGCCTTCGTCAGGGTCATGAGCGAAGATCTCGCCGACGGTCGAGCCGACCGGCGAGTTCTCGGCGATGTAAAGGACGATTTTGTCGTTCTCGAAAGCGGGTGGTGAGTCATTGATGTCCTCGATCTTGATGATCATGGGCACGACGGATGAGAGCGCGGGGGAGCCGCGGTCGATGGCGACGGCTTTCAGGGAATAACGCGCCACCGATTCCCGGTCCAACGACTTCGCAGTTCTCACGATGCCAGTCGTCGGGTCGATCGCGAACGCACCGTCGCCGTCGTCCTCCAGAGCGTACTTCACCTGCGAAAGTTCGGCAGGGTTATCGAAAGGGAACTTTGCAGAGGGAACTTTCGCACGATTGATCGGTTAAAAGCTCATCGATCATGAATGAACGAGAAGTCTGTCGAGTCAGCGAGCTTGACCGCCGATCGCCGATATTATTAGAACGATGATTATTCATTTTATAATAATAATCCTTGAATGGTTACACAAGTATATGCAGATTTATCGTTATTTGTCAGCTAAATTAATTATTGCCTTCGCTCGAAAGAAAATTTCCCTCACCCGGCCGTTCAAGTCAGAATCCGCGTCAGTCGCCGCGACCCTCAGCACACTGGTGCCCACCAAGACGTCTTCGGGGATCGAACCTTGATACTGCGGCGCTTCGAAGACCGGTGCGTTATCGTTCACATCCGTGACGGAGATTTCCACGTCGGTGGTGTCCGACAACGGCGGCACACCACCGTCCCTGGCCGTCACGGTCAACAGGTACGAGGACACCAGTTCCCGGTCGAGCGCTCGGGTGGTGGTGATCGCGCCGGTCTGCGAGTTGATGCTGAACTCGTTGACCGCCTGTTCGCCGCTGTCGGTGGCCAGACTGTAAGTGATCTGGGCGTTCTTGCCGACGTCGGAGTCCGTGGCGCTGACCACCAGCACGGTCACGCCGACGGGCGCGTCCTCGAAGACCGAGACGGAGTAGGGCGCGTTCTCGAACACCGGCGAGAAGTTGTTGGCGTCCGACACGTTGACGTAGACCAAGGCGGTGTCGGTGCGGCCGCCGCTGTCGGATGCGGTCACCGTCAGCACGAATCGCTTCTCCTGCTTGTAGTCGAGCGGCTGGGCGACCGTGATGAGCCCGCGGCCGTTTTGCGACGCGATGGAAAACCGCCCGCGCGTATTGCCGCCTGTGATCTCGTAGTGGATCCTGGCGTCCTCGTCGGGGTCGGTGGCTGTCACCGAGGTGACCGGTGTGCCCGGAGGATCGTCCTCAGATACGACCGCCTCGTAGTTCTTCGGCTCGAAGTAAGGGTCGTTGTCGTTCACATCGGTCACCGTGAGGATCACCGTGGCGCTCATTGACTTTGCCTCCTCGCCGGAGTCCGCCGCGATTATGGTGAACTGATATCTGAAATCGACGCAACATTACAATTCCTGTGACTGCGTGCAGGATGCAGGGTCTCGATTTGGCGCGACTTCTGGCTTCTGGCTCGATTTTAATCTCAGAACTCGGAGGAGAGAATATCATTCCGCATAATCTTTCGATTGATCTTGTAAATTGATTGTACCGTGAAATAAATTTCGAAATATAGCTCTATCTTTATTATTATGAATGCAGTTCTATTATTTTATTTATAATATTTTATATGCTTTTTCATATATTTATAACATTTCAATTTCTATTTCCAATTATATCTTAGAATGTGTTATGTCGCTTGTTTCGTACGAAAAATTGTTTAATATGACAGAATGCTGCGCTAATAAAACCCGATTGTTGACCCTCGACGATCAACCGGGAGGAGTGTGCAGGTACTTTGAGTACTTTGAGCACTGTTCACGATCCAGCTGCTTCGTCGTGTAGATCCAGCCGGTCTCCGTGTTCACCGTGATCGGAAAGTTTTCCGTGAAGGCTCCGGTGACGTCGCGTGCGCCGATGGTGTACCTGATGAGCGCGTTTTTACCCTCGTCGGCGTCGTAAGCCTGCACCCTCAGCACCGAGTAGCCCAGCGGCACGTTTTCCGACACCGACTCTTGGAAGTGGCTGGTGTAGAACCTCGGCGCGTTGTCGTTCACGTCTCTGACCATCACCAACAGCTGGGTGGTGTTGGAACGTGCCGGCGAGCCGCCGTCTTGGGCGCGTATGACGATCTTGTAGCTCCTGGTGGACTCGTAGTCGAGCGGCTTCACCAGAGCGACGTCGCCGCTCATCGAGTCGATGGAGAAGGTGTTTTGCGTGTTACCGCCGATGATCGCGTAGCGGACCGCCGCGTTGCTGCCGGCGTCCGCGTCTGTAGCCCGGATGCGGGCCACTATAGGATTCGTCGTGTAGTCCAGGTCCTCCAGCACCGCCGCCGAGTACGTGCGCTCGGTGAACTGCGGGTAGTTGTCGTTGTCGTCCAACACGCGCACCACCAGGGTCGCGTTCGCGCTCCGTCGCGCGGACGGCGGCGTCGCTTGGTCCGTGACGCTCAGCAGGACCGTGTAAACCTCGGTTTGCTCGCGGTCGAGCGCGGTTCGCGTCGTCACCACGCCGGATCTGGAAAGTAGACGGGGGGGGGGGGGCGGTGAGTTCTCTGAAATCCCTGACCCTGACACGTTCACACGGGTCGCCGGGGAAAACCGGGTCTTCGAAAAGCGGGTTTTGCCGCTAACCTGGGATCGATCCTGAAAATCGCCGCTTCCTCGGAGTGCGCGGTGCTGCCGCCTGCTGTGGTGCACACGATGGAGTACTCCACCTCAGCGTTCCTACCGGTGTCTTGGTCCGTGGCCTTGACCGTGACCACCGTGGAGCCCACGGGAACTCCTTCGCGCACCGATGCGTCGTACTCGGGCCACTCGAAGCTGGGCGCATGGTCGTTCGCGTCCAACACGTTAACCTGAAGAGTCGTCGTGCCGGTGCGCGGAGGGAAAGAGTCGTCCACTGCCAGTACCTGCGCATCGATTCAATTTCAACCTTGTTCAAAATCAATTCCCCGTCAAAGAGGATCTCAGATTCATCAAAGCAGGAGTCCCTCCTGCTGCAAGCCTGTCGTACACACCCGGAAATAGTGCACATCCACGTTCTCCCTGTCGAGCCGCGCCCGAGTCGTCACTCTTCCAGTGATCGGGTCGAGAGCCAGCAACGCCTGTGACCTCGCGTCTATCAGCGAACTCATGGAGTATCGGACGGCGCCGTTTTCAGGGTCCCTTGCCCTCACTGAGGTCACGTACACTCCCGGCTCCTTCTCCTCCTCCACTGCGGCGACGTAGAGGGGTTGCTCGAAGTAGGGCGACTGGTTCTTCAGCTCTCTTCTCACCCTCCTGCCCAGGTCAGTGTCGTCCAGCTGGCGGTGATGAAACACGATCTTCAGCCGATGCTCGGCGTCGGTCAGACGCGAGTCCCCGGTGCAACGCAGGTTCATGCTGACCGAGACCTTCCACAGCGGGTCTACCAGGCACTGTTCGCTGGCGGACACCAGGTCCCCAGCGGCGCCTTCCACGAGGAACCTGGGATCCGCCACGCCGCCCCATCTAGTCTCGCATTCCTTCAGGGCTGTTTGGGGCAAGAAGTCGCGGAGGGCCGCCACCAGCTGAGACGTTCGCAGGCACACCTCGGTGAACCTGTCGAGGTAGACGACGTATCTTTAGTTCGATACCTTGCGGAGTATATAATATATATCGAGGTGAGTCTTCGACAACTTCTTGGTGATGGGTCGTGTCATTGAGAAACTACAAGACGCGACAGTCTCTCGCCGGAAGATTAATTTGAATTTATTTTACATAATATTTTACATAATTTCGATTATATCTCCTCTGACCATCCTGCTGAACATGCTGCTCTTCTCAGCAGAGTCCCTTTCATGGCGCGCATTCGCCTTTCGCATTTTTTATTAGAATAGAAGGTTCTGTTGGGTTTCATAGTGAGCAAGAATGTGTTGCTTTATCGAAGCCAACCTGTCAGTGCTCGGCATCGCGTAAGAAGCCAACGTCTCCGCCATCCAGCCTCTGGTGGCTGCCAGGTCGCGGTTCTCGTTGCCGCATCCGGTGATCAGGATTCTCAGGGGCAGGCTGTAGTAGTCGATGGTGGGCCTACCGAGCCTCGAGCTCGTCGAGTCGACGTAGAAGGTGAAGATGCGCGGGTACTGGAGACCGTCGCAGCTGAGACTCCTCGCCAGGGTCACGCGGCCCGTGTGCGGATGGACCTTGAGGAGTTTCCTGGCGAACCAGGCGGTGCGCTCGCTGGACGCCTCGTACTTGCGGCGGCCGCCCAACTGCGGCACACCGGCCTCGAAGACGACGGTGCCGGCGGGCGTGTTGGAAGACAGCACCGCCAAGTAGCCGTCGCTCAGCGTCCAGACGGTGGTCAGGATTAGCAGCACCCATCTCCACCTCGCCATGACTCTCGCTTCGGCCGGTTAATCCGCGCGATCCTGTAGTCCGTGCTGTTCTCTGGTCGACGCGTGGCCCATTGCTGTCCTCGTGGATCTCTCGCGGGTTTAAGGACTCATGACGTCACGATCCACCTGGAGAAACATTCACACCAGCCTTTGGATCGCTCGAAATCACGGCAGAATTAATTAGACATTTTTCTGTTTCGGTAAAATGTGATTTGTCTCAAGAAGCAAGCGAGGACACTTCGTCGAGACACTTTGCTGAAGAGTTCGCTCGATCTTGGGGCTGCTCGAAATTAATGCGGGATTGAAACTTGCGGTAAAAAACAAGATGCACCACCAGGAGGTTGGAGATAATTATTGTTCTCCAGGTGACTTTCGGACGACCTTCGAAGGCGACTAGAGTTTCTCATGAAATTATATAATTCGCATTTTTATTCCAAAGGGAGAGGAAACGATCAGGAGGTAGGAGGTGAGGAGACAATGGTCGCACTTGGCTGGAGCGACCGTGGCGAGTCCTCTCGAGCCCCTCGTGGCGCAAAAATCTCGCGAGCGGCAGAAGCGGAGGACGTACAGCAATCTCTCTCTCTCTCTCTCTCTCTCTCTCTCTCGCGCGCGGAGTGACATCGCACGAGACTGGAAGCGATCCGGCGCGCGGATTTCTTGCTGCGGCGCGGCGCGGCGGCGGCACTTAACTCCGGAGCCAGGAGACAGGTCGAGTCTGTAAGGATGAGCCCGGGAGTGGTATAAGGACTCAGCGATGAGAGTCGCTCGTTCTTCTTCCTTCGCCTTATTCCGCTCGGCGATTTAATCGCTCTCCCTCGTTGCAGTCCCGCCGCGCCGCGCCGCGCCGCGGAGGTAACATAATTGCCGGCGCAGACTGCAGTTTTCGAGGCGAGGAGGCTTCCCCTCGCTGAGCTGCGACCTTCCCTCCGCGCCGTGGTCGCGCACAAAACGTGGGAAACAAACTATTTCCGGCCATTGCCGGCGCGAGGTGGCGGAGATACGTGAGATTCGTTGACCCCTCATGCATACTCATTGCCGCGCCGCGAACGCGCGCGTATATCGTTTCTCGTAACGCTGCTCGTTCACGCACGACTTGCGCGCGCGAACTTGAGAAATTGCGAGCAACGGAATCGCGCGTATCGTGAAAGAAAGCAAGAGAGAGAGAGAGAGAGAGAGAGAGAGAGGAAGAGAGAGACGCGAGCTCGCGCAAATTTCTCTGATTGAAATACGCGGTGGATTCCGTTGAAGCATCTCGGTTAGTTGGTTGGTTAACTGGCGCGCGATCTCGTCTCGGGGGGAGGGAAAATTAGCCGCGAGCTCCCGCGTTTTCCCGTCCTTGACAGCCAACTTCGGCTAACAATGGCGAGCGAGTGCATTATGCAGGAACGCGCGGCGTTCCGAACAATCACTCGCTCGGAGGAGCGAAAGACGAGAGACGTCTCGTTCGGCCGCCTGTCCGCGCGTTCAAGTCTCGCGAGTTTCTTATTTTCCCGCCCGCTTCGCTCGCGGCTCCGCCGCTGCAGGCTCGTGAACTCTTGTTCACGAGGAGAGGAGGAGCGAGAGATACAGAGACGTCGAGCGCGGCCGCGAGTGGCGCATAAGCCGAGTCGAATTTCCGGGTTGTCACTTGGGCAAAATCGGCCGCCGAGCCGGCCGCGAAATCAACGCAAACGACTCTCTCGTTTCCGCCCACGCTCGCGTCGCGGCGCGCCGCGCCGCGCTGCCTCTCGCCTCGGGATCGGAGATGCGCGCGTGACCGCATCTCGGTACCTGCACGAAGCGAGGGGAGGCACCCACTCACCCAGCCGCCGCCGGCTGCTCTTCGCTCTTGTAGCTGTCGTAGATAGCGCGGAATTCGATTTAACACCTCGGCTGATTCAGCCGGCCGATATTCCGGGGCGGGGGGTGGGGAGGGGAGGGGAGGGGGGGAACGGGCGGACTTTCTAGAGAGCGTAACTGTAAACTCCGCCGCGCGCGTGGCGGAGCGATCGCGAAGCACACCGGGATCGAGAGAGCGATGCGGTCGGACGATGCGAAAGCGCGCGGAAAAATCGATCGCCTCTCGCGGAGGTGCCGTTAGAATTTCGAACGTCGGCGGGACGTCTCAATCGAGACGAAGTGATGTCGGTCGCGTGAGATTTCGGACGGGAGAGCAGCGATTGGGAAGGCTGCGTCCTGCCGCGTAGAAGAGCGGCTCGTTCGGCGCGTTCGGCCGCTTGATTTATGTACTCGACGTCGCGGGACTCGACTATCGCGTCTCTCGATCCATGACTAGGTAACAGGCATCCGCGACGATCTCTCGCCAACAAACCGCATCCTCCGAATCGATTTGCTCAACTGGTGCCGCTGTTGGCGCCGTGACTGCGCCGAAGAAGGACGATTTGTCGGACAAGCGATTATCCACCGCCGACTCTGGCGAGAAAAAACCGAGAGAAGGAGAGGGAGAAAGCCTTGTCTTCTTCGTGAGATCGCGATAAAAGTCAAGCTGAACGCACGAAGGTAAGATTCACCAAGCGGAAGAAGGGCTGGAGGTATGGAGAAGCTCCGCAAGGTGACGCGGCGCGGATCGGTAACGGACAGCCAGTGAGAAGCTCGCGGGTCGATCACTCGGCGAATTAGCCCGCCGATCTGCGATTTTCGTCGCGAGAGAATCACGAAGGTCGACTCGCGCCCTCGGAAACGGAACGGAAGATCGTCGGAAAACACGGCGACAGGCGCGCGTGGAGAGAGACGTCGGCTGCGACTTATCGAGAGACGGATATTCAATAACGAGCTCCCGCCGAGTGCCGTTGATATCCCCGATAAATTATCCCGGCGATCGCGTCGATTAAACGCAACCGTGCGGTCAGCTGCGACTGTCAAGCCGCGAGATATCGCCGTCACGCTAGACCGAGAGCGATCTCCGCATCGCGGGCCGCCTCTTCGGGCCGGGAAGAATATTCAAATGGCGGAACGCGCGCGCGCGTGCGTCCGCGTCGGAGCGGTGACTCTCTCGCGATCCGCCGGAGCCGGGGAAACTTTAGTCCGCGGCCTCGCGAGGCCTCGCATGCAGCCTCTCGGCCGCGAGATTATTATTCCGCTCGGCCGCCGCGCCGCGCCGCGCCGCGGCCAGTCCCCCGAGATCGCGGCGACTAGTTGACCGTGCCGGTTCGCGCGAGATACCCCGATACTTACCTCCTCGCTAAAGTCAGCCTCCGATCGTCCTCCTCGTCGCCCGGGGGTCCGGCAGAGCCGATCCGGTTCTCGCCAATCCTCACGACCGGCGCGCACCGGCACGAACCAATCGAACCCTGCCGCGGGCTCCCGCGGCGCGACGCTCGCGACTGCGACTATCCTCGGGAAACGAGGATGAAGAAGAAACGGCGGAACGCGGAGGGACGCGAGCGAGCAATGGACATCGGCGATCGGCGCGATCGCGTATATACACACGATGCGATGCGATACGTTTCCCGCCCTGAGAAATCGACTCGTCCCTTTCTCAGCCTGGCCGAGCGCGGAGCGAGCCTTTGTTTGCTCCACGCGTCTGCTCGCGAGCGTGCGAGCGAGCGAATTCGACGTGGCCGGCGAATATATATTGTCGCGCGATAATTGCGTCTGATTATTCCACGCGCTCGCACTCGCGCGAGCGTGAGCGCGAGCGCGAGCGCGAGCGCGAGTTGCGGCGACGGAAAAGAAAAGAAACGGGCGAAGAAAATGTAGAGCGTAACAAGAGAAAGGAGGAGAAACCGTGGCATTATGAGCGTCTCGCCCGTTCGGATGATTATACACGTTATCTACGCGAAACGGCAGCTATCAGCGGCCTCGTCCCTCGGCTCGGCAAGACACTCCAAAAGCAGCCACGTCGCATTTTCCCCGAGCACGAGCAAGCGAATTTTCCGAGCTTCCGGCCTCTCGTCGGCCTCCCTGAGGGGCCGCTCGCCCGCGCGAATCAAGCTCCCACCTCGATGTTATCACGTGAGATATCGAAGTATGGAGATTTCTCGCTCTCTCGCGACCGAGCGATCCTTCGACGCGCGTCGTCGTCTGTTCCGTGCCTTATCTGAAATCCCAAAAGGTTACTCGCGCCAAGAATGCCGCTCGTTCGTCCGTTCGTTGCGTTCACCGCTCCGGCCGCGGCGAGGCGCACAACTACGCCCGACTAGAAATTTTCATCAGGTTCACCTAACATTGACAAGGACCTAGTAGGGTGAATGAAAGGTGATCCTGAGCGAGTCAGTCGCTTATAATGTCCTAACGACAAACGAGCAAGGAAGACCTTTATAAGGTTATAATGATTGGGTCCACATTAGGACTTTAATGCACCAACCTAGTGTATGATATAATATGGTTCGGTTAATCAGGTCCTTGTCGGGATCTTATTCATTGTACCTAATATGATTTGCATTATCAAGTTTTAACAAGACAATTTTTCGCTGTCATTTCCAAATATAAAGATGTTCGCATTGAAAAAACATTTCAGATCACTTGAATATATTTGTAAAATGCTGTAGAAACTATCCTTTCTTTTCAATTCAGTCAATAAATAGTTGTAAAATTAACGTGACATGCGACTTTACTCTTTAACACTACTTTATGTCTTGCGATATTCACTTTATGTTTCTTCTCCGAAACATTTTACAAGTATGCTCAAGCGGGGTCTAAAATATTATTTCATGCAAATATCTTTTTACTTCGAAATGATATGAAAGAATATTCAGCGTGTCAGTGTTCTTATTTCTAATGTCATCATCCAATATAGCCGTGGCAAGTAATCAGGAGCCATAATTTGGAAAAGAAAACGTAATAAGGATTCCATAAGGTAACTCAATAGGACCTGACTGAACGAATCCTTACTAAGGTCCTGATATCCACGCTGCGTTACATGACTTACCAGTATGACCCGATAGTATTACCTTATTGGGACCTGATGTCCAAATGAAGTTAACCTGATCAGCACCATGGGATAAATTTCTAATCGGGAAGGACCCCCGACGTTGCAGCCGCGCACCCGCGCGGTTTGCCGATCGCTAAATCATTCCGCGGCTGTAATAACGTAACTCCGTTACGTTATTACAGAGTCCTTGCGAGAGCAGTTCGGCTGCGGGCGAAGGATAGTCGTGCCTCCGAAAGGATTATTTCCGCACCGC